AAGCAATCTTTATAGAAACATTTTAAAAAGTTTTATAATAAATAAATAAATGTTATTAAGTAGTTCCTTGAAAATTTAGGATTCTTTTGTCAAATCATTGAAGAATATCATAACTGTCTCCTCAAATAAAGTCGAGCAAATTAGATCGTTATGAACTTTATGATTTACCGATCAATATGTATTTTGTTTTGACGTCCATTAATAACGTAACACATTGCCCGTATTGTTTAATGATTTATCGACAAGTGATTACAGTATAACTTGTCTCGCTTTTCCTTTCAACCTACGTAATTTAATACAATTAATGACCGCACCCGTACGGCCTTGATCGCGGGTGATTGTCGGCCGATATATCGAACGCGGCATCGAAATTGCGACAGAAAGAATTTGCCGGGAATGTCGTTTGACGTAACCGATGCCGTGATTGTTGCACGACACCGTACCAGTACTACGGGTTGTCGGAAATGTACGCATTCGCAGGTGCATTGCGGATTTAAATATTCCGTGTCGCAATCCAACGCTAAACCGCAATAATATATAAGAAAGTATTTAAATTCTCATATACACGCATGTGCATATTAATGCTAGTTGAATAATTTGTGTGTGAAAAATGCGTATAAAGATACAAGAATATTTAATTAATAAATTGTGACTTTCCCATTTTTCTATTATTATTAAATTATTATTCAACTTCGCTGATTTTTATTCGAACAATTTGCAGTTATTAAACATCAAGCTACATATATAACAGGCAAATTTGCCTAACGCCAGCGATTTATCGAATCCGAATATTCATTAAACCATACATCGCGGCAGATTGGCACATTCCAGCACATGCCGTCGAAAAATCGTTGCTCGCTACACTTCGTTAGTCGTGTTAACCAGCGCCGCGACGCATGCAGGAATTTTAATATTCGCTCTTGTCATATTCTACTTTTCACGCCAAGTTGTTGCTGGACGACTCGTGCGTCGCATGATAAAAAAGGTCTTTGCCAGGCAATTTCTTTGCCCTCGCTAAGAAAATATAGAGGGCAGCACGCGGCTTGGCTAATTAACTTAATTGGTAACTTTGGTAACATACGATGTGACGTGCCGAAGAATCCCATAAATTTTTTGTCAGTCTCGAAACTTATAGCGACGCCCGCATCTTTGAGTTACGACGAGCTATGCGATTGTACGACAGGAACAATTGACACTTTTGACTTGATGAAGAATAACGGTTGCTGTTAACACTTCGAGGCCGACTTCCGCGGTATTTTCCCACCCATGATGCGTTAACATGAGAAAATGAATATAGATTTTCGTATTAAAGCTTTAAATGTTTTGCGTATAAATCATAAACAATAAAAAATAACTAACATTTTTTTAGCATTATTGAAATTGAATTTTTGTACACTGCCATTAAACAAATTTATAATACGAGGTTCCTATTTTTCTCTTGTTTCATAAAGAATATCACTGCACTTAAATCATTCGTAAGTCGAATCGATCGTGCACGACCTTGTGGCATTTCGCAGTCTCAGCATAAATCACGAACGTCATGGTTTCCATGTGTGGTTCTGATAAACCACAATTTCAAGTCTTTTTACGTAATTTAAGACGCTCGTTAAGTACGAGTTAGAGGTTTCTGCAATTTACTTGGAGATTGTTTTCAAAAAGATAGTTTTTTCGAACTTTAATGCTTACTACATGCTAACTATATGCTTATGGCACTACGTATGTTAATATGTGTGTGCATTTATACACATGAATCAAAATGCGAATTCAGGAGACTCTTGAATTACCTTTCCGGATATACATAAATGGTTGACACAAACCTGATATTGTAAGAAAGACGATATTGACACAAGAATTGGTTCGAGACGTGACGATAACTGTTTTTCTACATTTCTAATGATTCACACGGCGCGATAAAATTCACGGCTGACGACTAGTAATTTGACACTTGATGTGCTCGGATGAATAGAATCAGTATCAAGCAGAAATGCTTTGTCGACAGACAGAGATGAAAAAAATGATATTGCGAGTATAATCACGTAATTCTGAATCACAGTCTGCACTTTGTAATGGTAAGTTTAATTTTATGCCGATCGTCATAACTGAAATTTGTACCGTCATAAATCTCAACAAAGAAAATATCCTTTATATCTCGTGAATCAATTCAATATATCTTCCTGCAGAAAGAATACTTCTTTTCTCTTATATTCTGTCATACAAAAAATTTACATTTGCATAATTATTTATTACGTACGTTTTCTTCCTAAAAATGATCGCAACGTAGCGATACTTAAAAACGATCCTTGTCGACATTATGTTTTCTCTCCATATTAAACGCATTAGATTAATTAACAACACAAAATCGACACAGCAGACGAAGCGTGGCGATCACGCTCGAATACCACAATCGTGAGACAGGGGTTCAACCATCATGTCATTAATTAATTATGGGAATCAGCCCGCACGTGAGCGTTATCAGATTGACTTCACTCCACTGGCAGGCAACTCAAATAACAGTAATTTTCGACTACTTTTCGATGCACCAAAATATTTTCATAATTTATGCATATTACAATGCATAACATTTATTACATACTTATAAATTATTATAACTTTATTTTTGTTTATATTATATTTAAAATTTTGCAAATGTGTCTATAAAATAAAATTTCTTGCTTCACAAAATTCACGAGGGGAAAATCCCCAAATCCCTTCCAGCTTGTCAAGGATTAAAAGTAAAATCCTATAACAACGGTAGAATTATTTCTCTCTCTCGGATTTATTTAACAGCACAGTCGAAAGCACTTTGCTTCGCACATATTGAAAGAGAAATCAAATCCGGTATTTATGCATCTCGCAAACTACCGTCGAGGTTCGTTATGTGCATCGGGTTAATTAACACCCGCATCGAAACGGTGATGTTAATGCCTGGATACACATGACGGGTGCGAAGAAGCTCGACGTGGAATGCTTCTGAGAATTCGTAATCGCCTGTGTAACAAGCACGATCAATTAGTATTTCACAACTGTTTGACTAATTTGGACGGACGATAAATGCAGTTTATAAACTGCATTTTTATTCTACAATATTAAACTCGAGTTTTTCATAACTATTATATAGTAAACACAGCTATCATATAGCAAATATTATAATGTAAAATAATTCTTTCTTTAAAAAAAAGAAACAAATTATATCTAGAAAATATTTTCTCATATTGCAAAAATAAGATTTCTCTTTAAAAGTATCTTAAATTATAAACCAGGAAGGCTATTACGATTGTGATCGGGGGAGCACATTGCTTTCCAAATAATCGATTTATTCCAATCAAAATTTATACCATATTAACTTCCGAATTACTTGCAAATTAAAGCATACGATGGCTACATGATCGATACGTTTTCCCCTTTCAAAAGCAGCCTACGCATCCGGATAATATCAAGAAATTACGTGGAGCGAAAGTGGTTAGCGCACGGTAAATTTCGATTGACCGAGGGGGTCAACGATTGGTCGATCAAGTTCAGCAGCCAGTTAACCGACAGTTAGCCTGCTGTCGTCCGGCTAACGACTTAATGACGGGAATTCACCACTTACGAGTTCCTCTCTTCCTTCCCCATCCTCTCCTCTTCTCTTTCTCTCACTCTCTGTTCCCCTTTTGTTCGCAATTCTTTCTCTCTCTCTTTTGTCGGCAATGCTATTCGCGTAAAACAACGCGGTCGACAGACCAGTAACAACGTCGGAAATTAGTCGATGCTTAAACGGGATCGTCATTAACTTTTATTGTGCCGCGTCAACTAGCTATATCGGAAGAAGTAAATTCAGGCAAGTGCGCGCCAAAATAGACATACAACGAGATAATAAATTTGTTCTCCTTAACTAACTTTGTAAAATTATTCCTCTTCCTTTTCCATTTTAAATAAAATTTTATTTTAGACAGAATGCATGAAAAGTGCTAGAAAAGCAGATTTAATTCCTTTTTAACGTATGCTGCTAAAAATTAAGTAATTATTTATGTAATTGTTTAATTGTCAATCGAAATACCTTTAGCTTTTAAATTAATTTGCTTCATTGTCAGCATAATTTTTCGCACGTTTCTGCGATTACTCTTCCTTTCTAGAATAATTGTACTCGATATTACCTCAGTGTTTCTTCGTAATACTAGGAAATGATATTACAACCGCAGACTATAATTCCGCAGGTAATTGCTATGTATTATGTGCAACGGTGGCATAACAGAAACCGCGATCGTCAACTTCGTTTGTCTTCCGCACAATATTTTGTTATTGCTGCTTATGTTACCATAAGACTGTTATGTCGTCTTAAATCGTTTAATTCTTACATTTTTATCTTTAACGA